TAGTATCACAACAAATTAACTTAATGCAACTAGCCGATCTACTTTATCACAAACACCTTATCTGTTCGTCAAACATTTTTCGACAGATTTCTTACCTCTGGGATCCTATTCGTTTATACCGTGTTACCAAAAAGAAACGCAACTTTCACGTATTTTTTCAATACATTTTCATGTGAAAAATCTTCTCGTTTCTTGTGACTACAACAGGATCTATCATCAGGTAAGTTGTTCAAATTTGCTGGATTCCTAACGGGTTTCAAACAGATAATAAAAAAAAAAAAAAAAACGGCAATACAGCCTTCTAAAAGTGTTGAAATAAAACGCAAATTGTTTTTTATGTATTAAGACTGTAATGGAGTATAGCATCAAGTTTCGTAAATCTTTGTTGAAGGAGAAATAATTTTTCATGACACACACGTTGTTAGGTTTTCTGTAGAAACGGTTTATGGCACGATCGACCGGGAACGGTTATTTTTCAGTTCAGGATTTTCGTTTATTGCTTGCACGGGTCTCATTACCTCCTCCGAGGGTCACTAGAATTGCTTTGCTAGATTTTTAGTAATTTGTGTCCCTCGCGCTCAATAGCCTACGAACATACCATAAACCACGAATTTCCGAACGGCCCGCTTGCCGATCAGTCACCCGGAGGAAATTCCAGATTTTTTGGACCTTCCGCCCACCCCTCGCGAGCGTCTCCCACCCTTCCAAGATGACAGCCCGCTAAGGGCGCACTGGAAGGGCGGCAAAGACGTTATTAGACACGCTGATTGGCAAATGCAATCGTTAACCATTAACCAATCAGCGTGTCCCAACAAAAATCCCTCTCACTGACGTCCGAGACGCGACGTCGGAGAGTGAGTCGTCAAGTAGTTGTTCAACCACCACGGACAAGGAGAACCAAGGAGCAACCAGCTCACATCACGCGATACCATAGATCAGTTTTTGCAAGTCCCAATCATTTGGGTGGTCCTTCGAACCAGTATCTAGACGGCACAACATCGTGCAAATACTACATTACCACGGGCATTAACATTACATTTACTCCATATATAAGCGGTTAAGAATGAAATTGTATACGCATTTGCATAGGATTGCGATCCTAATACCGGTAAGGTATCGTTCAGTTAAGTTAGGTTAGATTGTTTGGCGGAGCTCCCCAGCCAAAAATTGCACACTTCACTGTCGTTGATTCAATGCCATCGTAACTTTAGAACCACGATCGTCACACGCCGCGGACAAAGTGCATGTTACTCAGGACCCTCTCCCTCTACAACATATTCAAAATTCAACAAAATTGAAGATGAAGCCCCCTTTCTCAGATAATTACCGTCTTTATTACTTAAAACCGACATAATCAAACTGTTAAAAAATAAACTGCAGAGTGTAAACTCAATATTTCGAAATACTATTGTAACCGAAAGAAGGATGACGTCTTAAAAATGTATGAACAAAACCAGAAAAGAATTAAACAATGCATACAGAATTGATAGAACATTAGATAAGCGTAAACGTACCTTTTACACAGGTCACAAAAATATTCGAATGCATGAATTGTTTTTGTATTATTTTACATTGATATTTGATTGGATCACCTTTGGCGTTAATTATGTGCCTGAGCTGTCGTTCCATGTTGTATATATACCAGCGATTCTGTTGCATTTTTTTCATATTTCCATTATTTTATTTTTTAACAACCCTGGATTTAATTTCACGAATTTTAAGTTCTTTCCCAATTTCGGCCAAATCTTTGGGGAGAAATCTGTAATGTGTTAGGTGTATTATATAATAACCATTCCCTCACAATCCAAGCGGTGCTTAGGCCCTAAAGTCTGACGATTTTTTATACACACGCACAAATAGTAATATTGTCTCTAGAACGCTGAACCAATGATTTCATTTGGCACATGATACCTGCATACTCAACGCTATTTTTAAATTTAATTTTCTTGAAAATAAAATCGTAGGGGATATTGTGTATACGCAATCCTTGCAAATTACACACATCTCACACGTAGAATTAATTTTGCTTGACTAATGATTGTGATTGAAAAAGGCTATTTATTCAAATTTAGCAACTTTTGTCGTTCAGAGTTCCCGTTTAATTTGTCTAGCTGATGAACACGAACGCTTCACGAAAAATGACAATAACGTTTCTATTGGTAGTGTGTTAAAAATGAAAATGGCAGAAATGAAGATCGTGTTAGGGTTGGGTTGATAAAATATTGATAATTTTCTGGAAGTTCATAATTTCCGATGTTGCCTGGTATAAATCGTTTGTTTGCCAAATCTTACATATTACTTTTTCATATTTCACAAGACGAAAACAAACTTATTCTATACTTTCCACTTATGTTTATACAAAGTATCGCGGTCTAGCCAGTTGTATCACAAACTTACGCCGACTCTGTAAACATGCACGGCAAGAATGCTAATATTGTTTCGATGAAACTTTAAAATCGTGCTTTCTCACCGTGCACACAGTATCGCGCGATTTTGCTAATTTACAAACACAATCCCAGCAGCGAGCATCGATTTGATGTAACTCGGTGTAGCGTGCATGCGCATATTGCGTTTCACCGGCAACGAAAACAGACGGTGAACAAGCATCAAATGGACATTTTACAATTGAGCATAGCACCCAACGTCCAACCATGTGGGCGATATCGTGGTTGGATGGAATTGGTGGATAAAGATCCCAATGCTGAAAGCACGTTTTATCGATGTCCGTTTGGACGTAGAACCTGCCTTTGTTTAATCCTGCGATAACATTGATTAAAGTAAAGGGTGTCCCTTCTGTCACCGAAGGGACATTTTCGTATGGGTCGACAAACCAAAGATGAGGCTTCTTATGTCATGTGTCTCAGAGGCAAGAGCAGTATTTCGCTCGCATCGCCTAAATCTCACGTCACGCAACTTTAAATGATCTGATTCGTCGATATTCTAGCTTTCTATCTCTAACGGTTTTCAAGATATACTAAATGCTAAAGTTTTGAAAAATTGCACGAAATATTTCAGCTTTGTTTAAAGATAATGCTTCGATCTTGAGCTCATTTTAAAGCTAACGAAATTCTCCTTCCGGACATTCATATAAACTATTACAGTGGTACCTCGGTATATGTCCGCTTTGGAATAAGTCCAACTTGATATACGTCCTGTGTTTCGACGCGATTCTTTAACTTTATTGATTTCAGGGTATGTATCGCGTCTCTCAGACACCAAATTAATATTGTGTGAGTGTTTCAATGTTTGAGGATGAGTGTCTAAGTGCGAACTATGGTGTGACGTGAACTGTGGTGCTGATCTTTTGGAAACTTTTTAGACATTGCAGGCGCGTTGGTCCAAGTAGGGAAAAGAGACATGAAAGAGAAAATTAAAGTATAATTGCTTTTACATTTATGTATTTTACCCCGTCGATGTATAATGTCAATAACAATAGGATGTTTTTTCATGGGAACGGATTAATCATTTTCTCTTTATTTCTTATGGGTAAACTTCGTTTGGTATACGTCCTGTTTGGTCTAAGTCCAAGGATCTGGAACGGATTAACCCTTCCGACCTGACGGCGTGTGCAGCAGTTCGCTTCCTACGGCCGACGTGAAATTTAATAGTCCGTTCATGACGGTTGACTTGAAACACATCGAATTGTTTATAAAGTATTTGAGTCTTTGACAATATTGTGATTTTAATATACCATACTGAATAATTAAGAAAGGAAAGCGGTGACACATTCTCAGGTCGGGTCGGAACGGTTAAGGATGTATACCAAGGTGCCACTGTACTTTAACTGTTCTTTCTTTTAAGTGCTATACACCTATCCCCCGATTTACACGGTACTGTAGAGTAACCGCTTTTTTTTCGCTACCATACCGAGTACGAGCTGCGTACTCGCTAGACCCCCCGTGGCCTCAGGTAGCAGACAGCGGCTCGTGCGCCCCCAACCCTGCGAAAAGGCTTGACCCACCCTGATTGGTCGGGTCTCGCCTTCCTAAAACATATAAAAGACGGCTCTTTGCCATAGAAAATCAGTTCTTACGGGAAGCCGACTAAGACTACTCAAGCGTACACCGAGCAGACGTCTCCTTCGCGGATTACAGACGACACTCCTTGTTTTGCGACAGTCAGTACGGAGCGACCGAAGACTCCAGGACCAGGTTTCCTGTCCTGTCTCTACCCTCGCAATCCTCACCTATCCACCTCCTAGAGGCAGACGCTCCTTCGCGGGTCATAGCGACACCTCTAGGTTGGCTCCAACTATCCAAGACACCTTCCCCGAGACAACAGACGTCTCCTTCGCGGGTCACAGACGATAGTTTCTCTCCCTCTCTCTCTCTCACTCCAACCTATTCCACCTAACCCCCTCCCCCCTCCTTTGGGAGACCTGGCCAAGCCGAACTTGACTCGCGTCAAATTCGCGCACTCTCGCCAACCGTTTTCGAGGCATAATCGCTTCCGTTTAGCTGTAATTCGACCTCACTACCATCAAGTGGGATTTAAATAAACCTCACGCTACAGTACTTTATTTCCACGATTTCACTTTTACACGGTTTCCAAAATAACGGCTTTTCAGAAATATAAACTGTTAAAAATAAAAGTTTATGCTGCGCACATATTTGTACAGTCATTTTTTAGTACCGTTCGTTTAACACTGGCATTAAACCAAACAATGAACGGAATTTCCCCCTTTTTTGTACACAAAAAGCATTCATGTTGTAACGTAAAGTTTGCTGCCGCCGCGGATCTTTCATTGGCGACCGGCTATTTTCGCCTTCATCGATCGCCCGCTCTTAAACCCTTATTTTTCTTTAACAATATCAATAACTATTACCGCATAATAAAATTTAACATGTTTACGATTTTAGAAACATTAGACGATATTGTTAACGTTCGCCAATATTTTTTAATTCAAACACAAACCTTTAAATATCTGAATGAATGAACTTATACAAAAAGAAACGGCTCATTTATTATTAATAAATATAATTAGAATCGATACTTAAGCGTCAACTGCTGATTTCACGCTGTTCCCACCCATAATACCATTGCATTTTGCCGTCCAGATAATTTTGCAATGACCAAAACAAGTGGTAGTCTGATGGTGCGATATCTGAGGAATATAGTGGATGCAATAAAACATCCCATGTCAGTTCCCGTAATTTCTGCAGCGTCTTGAAGATCACCCCCTCGCGGTTGGCTAGAATTCGTCGCTTCTCCTCGATTGCTGCCTTCAAATTTTCTAACTGCTGACAGTACTTATCAGAATGAATTATTTGCCCCACGGGCAACAGCTCAAAGTACAGTATCCCTTGCCAATCCCACCAAACAGAAAGCATCACTTTCTCAGGATGCAGATTGGACTTTGCCATCGGATCTGAACGTTCATTTGACATTTTCCAAGTTCTTTTCCGCTGAAAATTGTTATAAAGTATCCATTTCTCGTCACCAGTGACCAATCGACTCAAAAATGGCTCTTTATCTAGTCGGCCAAGCAATGAAATCGCAGCAGAAATTCGATTTAATTGGTTGGCTTCTGTCAGCCAATGCGACACCCACGCGTCGAGCTTTAAATTGTAACCAAGCTTTTTAATACGTCTAAATGCGGTCGATCTGTCGACGGTAAGTTCCTCTGCAACTTCTTCAGTTGAAATTCGGGGACTATTTTGCAATAAATTAACCACAACGTCATCGTCTATCAAAGAAGGTCGGCCAGAGCGTGGCTCGTCGTCCAGTTGGAAATCGCCAAGACTGAATTTTGCAAACCATTTTTTTACTGTACGAAGAGCTGGTGCACGGTCGTGGTAAACGTCCTGAATGTTTTTTACACCGTTACACCTTTCCGATATTCGTAGAGCATGACATGACGCAAATGAATCTTCTTCGCTCATTTTCATAACCTTTTTTAACGATGTAAGAACTCTCAAAACACAAAACACACACACACATTTCGCTGGTGAAATAACAATTGAATGTCGCTCTTTTTATCCGCTATAAAGTTTGTACATGCAAAAACGGATGTCACTTGCAAACAAATAATTTAGTGTCATCTATTGAAATCGGGCATGAACTTTTGCACTGACCCAATATTGCATCGTCTATCACGTTGAAGTATTAACTCACATTTCGAAGACTCGTCCAATTCAGTCTCAACCGAGAATCTTATTTCATCGAGGCTACTCCTGACTAATTTCACATTAACCAGCGTCTCACCATACCGTCGCGATCTAAGCGTAAACAGAGTTTACAACCCCGCGAAATTCGAAATAAAGAATTGCGGTGTTCGGAACGCAGCGTATACTGCAATGGAAAAACCAATTCCAAGTTGACATCGAAAGGCCCAAGCTCGTTACATCCTTCGAATTGCTGCTTTGGCGCTCGAATTACGTATACTTTGACGCGTGACTGATTTTACGACCTCACTACATTGGTTCCACCGACTATACATGTAATTAGGGCGGAGTTCTTGACACATCTTGCGCGGGAAGCGACTAAGGTCGTTTTGAGCGGATCACATCTTGAGCGGGAAGCGACTAAAGTCGTTTTGCACGGATTATTGATGGAATATTGTTATCGATGGGCTTTTGTAATGTTTTTACAATAAGATCGGATACACATGAGTACTAGGTCGACGCCCGTATATTTCAACATTAAAACGTGCGTTGCAAAAATGCATTCCTATGAATCTTGCAAAAAATACAGTAACTTGGAAGAATATTATTAATGAAATTATAACAAGTTTATTAGTAGGGAACTGAATTAATGATCAGTTGATAATAATGATATTTCATAAAAATTATATAAATAAAAGTAGATTTTAAAATGGACAATCATCTGGAATTTGCTGAAATGGAAAGTGAAAGAAGCACAAATAAAAACTGGTCGAAACTGGTCTTTTTATTCCATTCTTAATTTTTAAAGAGAAACTAAAAGTTTTACTTAAAAAAAACCTAAAGTTCAAAAACTACAGCTATTTTGTGCAGAAGTAATTTTGCGTACGAATTGTAAAAAATGGCCCGCTAGCCGGTGAGAGTTTGGCGGCAAAGCACCCGCGCAAGATGTGTTAATATTCAGAATGAGACACGTTTGAATTGAATAAAGTAATTTTTCTTTAAGTAGGTGAAAAATATTTATTATACGGTCCAAATTCCGGCACACAGAAGTCTTCGTACATTTAATAATAGAGTGGAAAATATTTAATACTGAATTCTGTTAAGTCAAATTTTAAAACCAGATTTAATTCTTCCTAGCTTGAAATTGATTTTTTTTAAATTTTCCGGTCCAATTCTTCTCGTGGGTATTTAATGGAACTGAAATCTGAAAACAGTGGAGGTTTTGCTATAACAAGGGGAACATTATAATCATGCTGATCATTGCTTGGTGTAACCTCCTAAAATTGCAAGTTTTCGGCACTAGCTTTCAAATTATTTTTCAGTATATCTAAATACACAAGTCCTTAATTATATGTAAATTGCCTGTTTCGTTTGCTTTCATGCACCCCCGCACCATAATTTTCTTCTTGCTATCACTTCTAAAATCATTGTATCTACTTTCGTCAATTAATACAGTTTTTGCCCACGAGGAAATTGGTTCCCACTTCTAGACCCTAAGCCCCGCCTGATGCCTCATCTTTCGTTTGTCGACCTATGCGTCTGTATACTCCTCTCCAGCATGCACGCGATACAGACAGAATGGAAAAAGAGCGAAAGTAAGCTTATCCATAGTGAAGTTCCTCTCTGTCGTACACACACGCGAATCCGAGCGAACGCCACATCAGCGCAGAGATTCAGCCTGAATCATAACAGACGAAAATAATCCCCCCAGATGGCCTCTGCTATCTACAGGACTTTGAGCAGAAACAGTAATGTCACGCACACTTGAGAAACGGTATAGATATGTCGTTCCAATTTTTATTTATCAAACGTTCATATTTTTCTGTATCAATGTTTAAGAAAAATTGGAGTTGTCTCTAATTAATGTCAAATACTCTCCGTGGCATTAAGTTCGTGGGATTTTAGTGAAATATCGTTCTGGAAGTTATTAACGAAAACAAACCACTGTGTACGCGTGTTAGGACAGCAAGGGGACGATTTTATGATACGTGATTTCTAGTTCAGCAAACCGTTATTTTTAATTTAGCAGATCGGTCTGCAGCCAACATGCGGCATGTAGAATTTCTCAAATATTAAAGAATAGGCTATTGTTCAGTCAGTAAGGCAAGGTATCATAGAGTCACCCCCAAAGGGTCTTCGAAACCGATGCAATTACCGAGGCCTCTCGGTACCTGACCTTCCGAACGAGTCGGAGAGTCAGAGTTGACCTGGCCGGGTTTTCCCCCCTTGTTGTCAAATTTCCATCCAGCAAGGACCAGCTTCGTCACCCCCGCTCCAAGGACGTGACCCAATGGAAGGGGGTGATACGGGGTTGGTCACTTAGTAATTTTAAGAACCTCCCTTCGCGTCCCTTCTTCAAATTTTAGAAGATTTGGAGAAGGGACGACTCGATAAGAAGGCCGACTTAGCTTAAGACCACAGAGTGTTAGTACACCGACCATCAGTTACATTAGGAATCCTAAAGATTCAGTCAGACTCTCAACGCAATACATTCAATCTTCAGACGGCACCTAGTGCAATATTCGAATTAGTACCCGAGTGCTGAACAACGCGAGTAAGTACGAACTTAGAAACGTGAAAATGTAAACAGGCAAGCACGGATTAGAAAATGCTGTTAAAATCGAGATGATCCGCTAGAATACACAAGTTCCTGATACCGGTTAAAGTATATCGAATGACATTGAAACTGAGGTGATAATTTTTACCTGGGCAACCTGAATGTTGCCCAGTGAGTGACAATTTTTACCTGGACAACCTGAATGTTGCCCAGTGAGTGTCACTAACCGTATTCCAACTTGACGCGAGCACCATGATCCATGAGGAGCTACCAATGCCAATGACACGAACAGATATTTCTTTACAAGTAATACGCGTACTCTTAGAACAAATTAAAATAGGACAATGTTAGGGGAACGAAATCACAGAGAAGAAACAATAACGGTCCTTACATACGATTTGATCCATCGTTCAAATCGGTCGCATCGCCAGGTTGCTCATGAGCAGCAGAATATCGAATATTACGATAGCTACTCGATACCTTTCACCCTGTAAAATTATCGAAGTATTATGTAATTTATTTATTTAACTAGCGTATAACAAAAATACAGCAATATAGGCTGCAACATTGTGTATACTGAAATACTATATTTTAAATATTTTCTGCTATTTTTGCCAGAATTAGCAACATCACTTCACGTATTGTATTGATTTTACATTATTCTATTAACATTAACATTAGTGGTTATCTATAAATTTAATTATAACCGAGTCGGTACAGGTTTATTTCAGTATTGCAATGCGTCAGATGTTATTGCTTTTATATAAATTGTTTAAGGTCTTCGATTACTCTCTAAAGACTTTTAAGTAACTCATTTATTTCATAAATGTAGAACTTGTTTCTTTTCTTGTATTCGAAAACTTAAATACGTGTACTCTTACTTCTTCTGTATTTTTAAACGACGGAACTGCGTAGAGCTCGGAATAAATGCAAATCAGCAACGCGTTAAAATTCAATTACAATTTTCACCGCGTCGTCGAACTGTAGTGTTGTCGAGACCAGTTTTAGGGATGCTTAAAACTTTCTACCCCGATCTAGATTAATTCTTTTGCTTTTGAACATTGTTCAAGGCAATCTATTTCTCGTTTTCCGTAAGTAAACATTGCAAGAAAAGCAGCTCACTTTTTGCTGTTTTAATACAGAATCGCAAATTGTAATCCCATTCGGTAAATTATTCTGAGTTTATTCCTGCAGAATGCACTCATTATGTACTGAAATATCATTTCAAATTTACTTAACCTGACTTTCATGAAATAGTTACGATTTCGGATATCTTGAATTAGTTTCAATTATTTCATTATGTTTTGAAAAGTATGTACAGTCGAAAGTTTAGACTATCAATAGTCTAAAGTCCTTGCAAAATCATATAGACGAACTGTGATATTCACAGATTCCAAAAGTGCAATAATATCGATCAACAGTACTACATCATATAACAACATCATCCAGCAAATCTTAGAAACCCACCAAAAAATAATATCAGAAGGGAACGAAATAAAAGTCATATGGATCCCTAGTCACGTAGGAATTACAGGGAACGAAAAAGTAGACTAAGCAGAGAAAGAAGCAACCAACCTACCAACAACCGAACACAACAAAATGTGCCTAGAAGACACACTAAGAACAGCCAAAAACGAAATAAAGCAGCAATGGGAAATGGAATGGGAACGAACAGCACCACATCGCATCAAAGACATAAATGGAAAATTCTTCAACAATTGCAAAACAATCGCCGAAATACCCAGAAGAGACCAAGTAGCAACGAGCCGAATCCGAATAGGTCATATGTTCCGCGGCATACCCACGGGATCTTGGCCTTCCCTTTGTCATGATTTTGACCGTATTGAATAGCACGGGTGGCTAGCAATTTGTACAAGGGACAACCTCCGAAGTGCAAATTGCAAGCACGTTTATGACACGCAAGCCAGTAAAGTCGTTTTTGAGAGTCGCTTTATTTTTATCCTGCAATTGTATTCCTTCGAGTTTCTTCGTCCTCAACGACTAATTGCATGTGCCATAAACGTGAATTTCCAAAGGGTCATCGAGACCGGGCCCAGTGACCGTCGACCAGGTCAGGCCGCAGGATCCAAGCCTGGCGGAAATTCCACCACGTTGCAAAATTTCACATATAACGTCTTCTACCTCCCCTGACACCACCTCTCCTGTCCGGAATAGGTGGGTGTCGGTGGATCTATCACTTAATTGGCAAAAAATACTTACC